ATGTCTTTTTTTTTTTTTAAACCAGAGTCAGAAAACAGTTTCTTTTGCTGGTTTTGAATTCTAGACTGTAGCCATTATATCCTAAATTTTACTGCAATCAACTGAAATGCCTCCAATATGCAGAGACATGATTTTGAAATAAATAAACGAAGCTTAAAATAATTGATTAGGGCCAGCCCAGTGGCTTAGCGGTAGTGCTCTGCACTGCCTTGCGGGAGGACCCAGGTTTTGTTTGCACTTCCAATCTCTTGCTCCTGGTCCAGAAAGAGCAGTGAAGGTAAGGCTTCAGCTGCTCGGGCAGGAGAGAGCCAGTGCTGCAAGTCTGCTCATCACTGACCTTCAGATAAATTAAAAAAATCTGAGTTATACAGGCTCCAAAGGGAGTCCCATCCAGTCCTCAAAAGAAAATAAATAAAGCAATAACTTAACTAAAATCCATCCCAGGTTCTTTGGTGTAATTTTTATTAATGCTGAGAAGTAGGAGAATCTGGTGGTGTATTAGTACAATCCATGATAGTTCCAAATACTCAAAAACTCGAATTTGCTGCCTGATTCGCTTCAATGTCCTGTCTTTGTGGCTAAAAATTGCAAAGCCTATGGTAATTTAAACACATTTTAAGATGATACTGTATATATGGGGGTGGTCTAAGACTATTCAGTTTCTACTTTATTAAATAAAATTGGTCATTTACGAGGGCCAGTAAAGAATTTCTGTACCACAGGTGTGCTACTTGTAGAGTTCAGAATTGTAATTTCCCTATATGTTGCTTAGCTCTGTTTTCTTCGCATCGATTGCACATCTGACCTAAACTGTCCTTAAGTGCCTATTTGTAATTACATGGTTTTCTGTGCAATGACTGGAGGATTGCAATAGGAGAGGGAGAGGAATTAGCCAGTAAAATTAAATAACAGTTTATACTTGCACATGTCACTTCCCTCATCAGTATCAATTACATCAGCAAAACAAAACCGAAGATAACCAGTATTTGAAAACAGATATTTAACCTTCTGCCAAATATACTGAAATGAAAATGTTCTGTACTATCACACTAAAAAAAAACATTTCCACGTGATGAACATCTCTAGCAGTAAGATGAAGCGTATCCGTAAATCAGTTCTTTTGGACTGAGTTGCAGTGACTACGTTCCTGCCAACAATCTTTTCAAATTAATATAGCTTTCCCAGTTACTTAAAGCAATCCAAAAGTATTAATTCTTTCTCTAAAATTAAATACATGAAAGGATTTACCTTTAAACAAATAACTTTGCAGTCCAAAAGGCTGGTTAGTTACGAGGACAGGTAAGTCTTTAGCAGAAGGCAGCCACAACCTTGAAATTTGGCAAGAAGAGTCAATACCTACCTTACTTAGCACAAAACAAACCAAACAGTCCAAAAGGCTGGTTAGTTACGAGGACAGGTAAGTCTTTAGCAGAAGGCAGCCACAACCTTGAAATTTGGCAAGAAGAGTCAATACCTACCTTACTTAGCACAAAACCAAACCAAACAAAAAAAAAAACCCAAAAAACCCAACCCCCAAAACAAAACAAAAAAAACCTCCCACAAACCCCAAACCCTCTGAAGGCTGCAATGCACATACTCTATTTCTCCAACGTACTCGGTATGCTGAACTTACACATACCATACAGTAGTATTTTACTTTAAAGTTAATTTAAGTGTCAAATTTCTCTCAAATTTTGCATTGCAAAACTTTCATTAAGCTGAATCAATACACTTAAAGAAAGCATACAAAAATGTCTTACAATGCCCAATCATTAACAGAATATGTGTGAATTTAAAAACATCACGTTACTTCACTAACAAAACAACTCAACTTTTCTTCTCCTCTAACTTACCTTCCAAGACCTGAACTGGTTCGAAGTTCTGCATGCCTCTCCCACGTGCAGACAGAATTGCTTAGGGAGGAAGCTTCCCCTTCCCACTGCTCGGTGTTAGGGACATCACAGAACCCCCAAAGCAGGTCATGGGAGATGGAACATTTCACCTTCTAAGGGCATGCCAGCACATGTATTTTGTTACCGATTTAGGATCACAATGGCCTTGGCTACACAACTAAATAACTGGACAGGATTGGACAACATTAGCGGTCAAGACACCCTTGTCCCGTCCACACCAGCACTTCCATGATTGCTGTTGCCCACTCAGCTGCCTCGGTGTGGACTTGAAATGTCATTTTTCCCTAGCGTCAATGCACATCTTACCTTTAGCTTCTTTTAAGAGATCCTCCCTGTTCACATCCAAGTGAGATTTCTGCTGGAAGTGGCTAGCACACACAAGCACATGTACACACATCCTTCTAAGATGTAAACTATGACTAATTTCACATTCCACTGTATCGATCTGTAAATACTTTGTTTTCTTTTTTCTTCTTTTATATAAAAACAATGGCATCATATTCTCAGCAGTAAAGTATAAGAAAGATGAATCCTTGACTACACTTAACCAATTATGAAATCGCCTTTCAAACAAAGGAAACATATGCAAAAAATCCGTGTATTTGATAAAGTCAACTTAATATAACAAAAAGTGAAATATGCTTATTAAAAGTGTCCTTATATAAAAATGGTCTTGCAATGTACAGTAAAATGCAATACAAATTATTGTTGGTTATCTCTCCCCACCCAGTAACTAAAACAGCTATTGTTCCACAAAACTCCTCATATGCCGGCATCAAAGAAAGAAGCAATTATGCAACTAAACATTTTCTATGTTGTATGCCTGACGGATATTAAGGGTGTCTCGTAGCATCAAGTCTCGCAGACGCCATAACGCATCGGCCATTGTGGTATGAGCCCCTTTACTTTTCAACCAGTGTGAAGGGAGTCGGCTCTCTTGTTCTTTTGATAAGTGGACATCTCGTCTTCGTGCTGAAAGGTCAAGAAATGGTCCAATTATCTACTGGCTTCGATATTCACCACAATTTCTCTAGAAAAAGGCGAATATAATTCTACAGTGTAACTTTTACCCCTAGTATTTAAGCCCATACAATTGATTCTTAAATTTATACATCATCGATGGAATTAGCCTGCTTATAACATATATATTCCCAGTCTGTTGATTTGTTTTTAACAATTAATTGCATGTGTACATTTTATTAAGTAAGCAGCAGATTTATGCAGCATTTTCCATAAAAGCAAAAAATATTAACGGTTACGAAGAAGCGTTTTCTGTCTGGAAACATCCCACTCTGTAGCAAAAGCCTTACCTGCGAGGGTCTGGTCCCACTTGCTAATACTATTTGATTCAGCACTAAGCCCCTCAATATATTTCAGATAGGCTTCAGAATGAAGAAGCCTCTGTGTCTTTGGTGGAGGGGAGACGAACATGGGAGTTGTGGGCTGCTGCATAACCGGCTGACTTGCTGGGCTCTGGCCGGGATACGGAGGGGGTGCCTGCTGTCCCGGCGGGCCAAGGATTCCTATCTGCAATGACAAAGCGATGGAAAGATGACATTTGGGGGAACTGCAGGGAAACTGCTTCACATCTGTGCATCAGATCATCCTCATACAATGGAGCTTCAAAACAGGTTATCAGCAAAGGCATAAGAAAATTTCCCTGGAAGACGCCCACTTCAGCCAGGGTTATCCGTTGGGGTCACCGAGACGCACAAAGAGAGGAAGTGCTAACAAACCGTATTGGTATTTAACAGACAACATCGTTCCTCTTTCTAATCTATGTAAACATACTCTGATTACTATCACCATTTCTCCTCTCTCCTATTAACCTTAATTATTCCTTTTGCCTCCTTTTTATTTCACGCTTTCTCTAAATTAGAGATCAGAAACCGTGTGGTCTGTGAAGTGCAGGGTTTATCTCTAAAACATCTAATCCAAACTGACCCTGATCCTTAGACGACTGGGATACTTCCACAGAATAAATGCTAATTGCTGTCAGGCAAAAATCACAGGCACACAAATAAATCACAGTCACACAGAAGAATTCCCACCATTGTGATTAAGCAGCAGTACTGAGAACTCTTAGCACAGATATCCTGTGGTCTGGAATAACTCAATGTCATGACATATACACTTTACTACTTTCTCACTCAACTTCTGGTTTTCTTTACACCCTCTATCCAAAATCACATTTCTCTTTATGATGCAAAAATTTAGTCAATAAAATTGGAAATATGCTGAACACTTCATCTGTATTAATCACTGAGAAGGATCATCACTGTTATCCAAACTCACAAATTCTGAACTGCTGATGAACATCTGCTTCGTCAGTTTGTGAAATATGGGAGCAAACAAAACAGTTTTTACCCACTCATCAGCAGCTGAGAAAGTGGACAACATCCTCTCTGCGTCACCAAAGCATGCCAAACATAAATTATCAGCAGTTTAACAGTGTGTTGAAATGACTTGTCTTAAGTTTAGTAGAAGGAAAACAAAACAAAACACTGTCTTTCTTATACTGCAGAAGTCATTCCACTGGACGGAACCTAATTAGTCTAATAACAATCCGACCAACAAATACAGACATAACTCTGAGTGTAAGATATTAACTGATTCTAAATACATCGGTGTAAATTTGGTTTATGTTCTCCCTGGGAAAGGCTATGTGCATCCCTACATGTCTTAACTGAGATGTTGTTCAAATGCTAATTCAGAGCCTTAGAGCCTCACAAATAATGCAAAAACGACTCACCTGCTGTCCAAAAGGACTTGCTCCGGGTGCTGGAGTGCCTACCATGGGGGACACATTTTGGCCTATAACACCTATATTCCAAAATATAAAATAATTAGTCTTATTTCAGAGCAGTGACAAATACCTCTTTGGTCTTCTTATAGTAAAAATTTATACTTCGATATCATTGCTCACAGTTATTTTAAGCAGATGTACAACATTCAACTATCCCCCTCTCCCCCAGTAAAAAACTTTAGAAGTTTCTGAATGAAGAAAAAAAAAAAAAAAGCCAACATGACAACTACCAAACATTGATATGTGGCCTGTTGAATTAATTTAATTAAAGAAATGCAAAGTGAATAATTTTTGGTTTTCTGTTTTGTTTTTGTTTTTTGTTTTTGGTTTTGTTTTTTTGGTTTTGTTTTTTTTTTTTTTTCCCATTACTTAGTCATTGCCTGACTAAATCTTTTTATTTACAACATACACCTTTGGCTTGACAGGATCTTCCTGGAATCCTTTAAGAAAGGAAATGCTGATTTTCTTTAGCAACATGTAACATTTCCTTCTGTTCAGTTTTATAAAATACATTCACAGCAGGAGGAAATCCAAGCCATTACAGAAATTCTGATAGATCTCACTAATATAAAACGCAACCTGCAGGTTAAGCTTAGTCTTATATATGAGACCGATGAACTTTTGAAACAAATTTCAAAAAAATAAAAACTGTTAGTTTTTCCTCAAACATATTGAGGCTTTTCCCTATTGCACAGCGTGCAGCAGATAACACCTGTGTCAGTCTTACATACAAAAATTTACAAATTTAAATGAGAATCATGCAGTTCCTATATTTTACATACAGATACTTTGGTCTGAAAAAATGAAAGTTATGCCTGCTGCTGCTTTTCTTTCTGTTTATGCCACTTCTAACACTCATTCATTGGAAAAGCTGCAAACTAACTATGCTCTTCCTGAGGGTTTAATTTGCATGCAGATTTCTGTATCAGTGATCAAAAGATGTGCCACTGCATTTTGCACACTAAAGCATATTTCAAACGCATTTTCCATTTGATGACAGCCCCCATTTTACATGCATCTGTACTAACAGCAAGTCAGGAGTTGGAAAAAACATTGATAATACAAGTTGTGGAATATGGCACGGATTATTAATTTTTTTTTGTACAAAGCGAAGAGGTCTGGAGGAGAGCACCCTCGTCTTTCCAGCACCAGAGCATGGCTTCGTCCTTAGCACATCCAGCCCGATTTAGCGCCACTTCAGGTGCGGTCCTCCATTCCCAGGCATTATTTTTTCCCTAATCCATACCCTCTCGGTTTTAAACACCATACACACAGCCCACTTCTCCGGTGGGAAAAACTCTTCAAAGAAATGCATTGTCCTGGATTCACCTCCCAAACATTTGTATGTTGCTGACGTATGCTAAATGTCACTGCCTTGGTGAGTCGGAGACAGGCTCACAGACACACAGCTGTTTTCCTACTCCCTCTACGTGACTTTACGGTGAATCTTACACACCAGCGAAGCTGCAAGCTGGACACCTAGTACTGACGGATTTAAAAAAAAACCCAAGCAAACAAACAAAAAGAACCACCCCAACCCAAAACAATTCACTTTCAGATAAAAGTCTTAACAGAGCTTTGATAAACACAGTTGCAAGTGGGGTAGAGGGAAGCAAACGAGACCACTTCTGTCCACAGCTTGTTTAACTGCTGAACATATGGGATACACATCTTTTAAATAGGCACATGAGTTAGCAGAGGTAAAAACTGAAAGAATCAGCAGAAAACAGGATCAGAGGGCAGATGAACATTTCTCCCCATAATGGGGACATGTTAATGGCATTAACACTAGAAAAATGTTTGTTTCATTCAGCCTCACTTTTCATCAAAAGTGTGGCAAAAAAATAGCAAATACGCAGTAGATACGCTCTCAAAAACCATTTCAAAATTTGGCCACAATAGTATACTGAGTTCACCTTATCCCCAAATGTTTCCAGTTACTGCTCTATCAACAAGGTTCAATCTGAACACTGTCTTATAATCACACGTGTCAGTGCCCAAATGGCTAAGGGGTCTTACATGACCAGGTTCATTTAAGTGCAGTCTAACTGCTGATAAACGTTAACATACTGAAAAAGAGTTCAGTAAGGAATGAGAGCAATAAATTTCATTTATAAGCCCACTTTAAGAAAAGGAGGAGTGGAAAGATGCTGTTGAAATGACATAAGGATATGAATATGCTGATTTCAGCTTTTCAGACCTCTGATAAACTCAAGCAGAATTGTCAGGTTTTTTGGCTGGAGCAAAACTACTGCTGGAGCAGCACCACGTTTCTCCAGTAACCTTTCCCTGCTGGTTTACTGGACATGCTGTTGTGTCAACGTTTTGCATCTACCTCATATATTCAGCAGTGCATTGTGTGCGCTGCAGCTAAACAAACCTGCAATGTTCAGAAACAAAAGCTATGACCAAAACAAGCTGCAGATAATTTCTGTAACAACTGGTTAAACGGCAAGTACATGAAAATGAAATAAGGAGCGAATGAGGATGACATTCTTACCGGGTGGTGGGATGCCTGGGATGCCTGGCATACCTGGCGGAAGTTGGTGGGGTGGGGGCACCCCTGGGTGAAGTGGCTGCATGCTGCCCATGCTAACAATGCCATCAACTGGGCCCTGCAAAGGTGGCAGCACCGGTGGATAGCCACTTATCATGCCTTGAAGGACACAACAAATTTCAAACATGCATCAATAACATGCAATATGATCTACACAGTAAGACATGCACTATCCACAGGAAAAAAAAAAAGAAAAAAAAGAAAGCACCTTTAGTACAGCAACACGATACTACAATTAGTATCTTGCAAAAATGAATAAAAATTAAAAATAAAAAAGTTATAAATATGAAACACTGTACTTTGGATGAATTAGTATTTAGTGTATTTGCATGTTTCTCATGGGGCAATAAATGCTGAATATTCACATATGTTAACACAAGGAATAAATTCAGCCACAATTAAATGTTACTAACGCAAGCAATTTTAATACAGCTTAAAGCTCTGCCATCTGCATACAGATTACGAACACAACACTAGCTACACAAGCTCCACATACAGCCCTGCTTTGTGGGCTACCTCGGAGACCAAACTCAACTGGAACAAAAATAAAAACCTATATATTTTTCTGCAGTGCATATGCAAAATTAACACACAAAAGCCCTACTACATTTGCATACTTAAAACTAACAACAGTGACAGGGGTGGTTTTTATTAAACCGTCTCCAGTATAAACTATGGAAGTAACTCAAATTTTTAAACCTGACAGCACTGGATGTGCTGGGCTGCAGTGACTTACACTCATGGCACTAGACCGAAGTAAAAGGACTTGCAAGGAGCACCTGCAGTCCCTCACAGAATTTCACTGACAATGTTTTCAAGGTGTCTTTACAGGAAAATCAATGTTACGGCGAAGACGGTATTGTGCTGCTGCTCATAACTTTAGTTTTCTGCACATGAGGGAAGAAAATTTAGAGCTTACTGTGGTTTCGGCCATGAGGTGAACCTACACAAATTAACTGCACTGTGTTTATTAGGTCCTGGAACCTAACTTGCTTGTCCCTTGCCTGTTTTCTAGGCTTTGTAATTTAAATGGATGCGTTGTCAGGTAACCAAGAAAAGGTGTTGGAAAGACAATGAAAAGATGACAGAGGACAGAAGCAGGTCTAGAGAGATGAGGTAAGTTTGGAAATGCAAAATTGCCGAGGTTTCTATAGCCTGTTCCAAGAAACCACCTACTGAGTCTTTGCCACACTCCCAGTAACTCATAAAAGAAACTTTCAGAACAGGGATTTCTGGAATAAGACTGGCCAAGAACTCACACCGGCTCTGACTGAAAACAAAGCTGTCATGAGCTCAGGATCGAAACAGATCAAGCAGCTCCAAAATACAAGCTAAATTTGTCACTTCCTCAGGAAGAGTTACAAAGGTGAGAAACCTGAAATTCCAAAAGCTTTACACGGAGCAAACAATGAGAAAATAAAGAACTGATCTTCCTCAAGCCTTCATTTTCCACAGGACACCTAGATCAACACTTACTAAATAGGTCTTAGGTACCTATGTCAAATATCTGGAAGCTCATCTGTACCTCTTTATTAACATAGTGAAATCCATATTTGTAATGGAAAAAGTAAAAGAAGAAAAACAACAAAAGCAGCCTAGAATAAAGGGCTTTCACTGTAGCTACTGCCTGGTACTTCTAGTGCACCCCAAGCTGTAATCACATCTTCAATGCATTTACATACACTTCTGAAGCTTTAAAACAAACAAAACAAAATAAACCAAAAACCTCCAATGAAACAAACCCGTATTTATCAATCATGAAAGCTCATTATCTACATTTCCAAATAAAATACTCACTCAACAACTGGCTGGATTAATAAAGTTGTCGTCAAATCTCCATGAGAAATCAGTTCTTGTAGCTCATCACAAGGTTGTAAGAGCAGCCAGTTTCATACCCCATGTATGAGTTACCACTTTCATTTTAAACTAGTAAACATGGGCAAACTATTTCCAGCTCCCACAGCTGTGATTTCTGATGCCTTTCAAATTACTTGTTCTCCCATTTTTTACTATATCAATGTAAGATTAAATAAACTTTTGTAATGCCTAGATTTACAAGAAACTAGAGCACTGCACACTAAGAGAAACGCATCTCAGAAGGTATCCAGATTTCTTGGACCCGTGGGCCATAAAGTTCTCTGAACTGTGATGGAGAAGTTCTCTGAACTAGAGAAAAGCAATCAAATGATGGAGGAGGATGTGAAAGAGGTCTCAACAGAACAAGATACTTCTAAGTAAGACTTGCGGAAACTAAAAGATGAAAGACTGTGTTTTTCAAATGGGCCACAAAAATAGAAAGAGTTTAAAAAGATCCACCTGATCATCCACTTCAAGGAAGTATTTCACAATGCCAAAAGTAAAGAGGCTTGAATGTCTAACCGCTTGAATAAGATGATGGTCTTAAATACAGGTTTGCTTTTGAGCAGGCTGCCACAGGAAGTAAGTTAGCATGTGTAGTTTGCAGAATGCACATTTTTGGAAAAGTTTTAAGAAAGTGTTAGTACTAAGTATTACTGCCCATCAACACCTACCTCCAAAAAATTGGAGAAGTGACTCAGTGCCAAAAAACCAAGAACCAAACCAAGAAAACACAACCACAAGAGGATGACATTTCTACATATTCTAGATGGAAGTAGGTTACTCACAAAAAAGATCAGCACTGGAGAACTCTTTTTTTTTTTTTTTTACCCTTAATATATGCACAGATACGTGTACACACAAACACACACCAACTGCAAACAGTTCAGAAGAAAATTACCAAGAACAAAGTGAAAAAAACAAAATAAAAATGCAACTCTGTGTAAACAAATGCTTTGTAATCCGGAGACCACGAACCAAATAGGGAATGTGCCTTCAGTTTAAACATCCATGCAGCCTATTTACTGAAAAGGGATTTAGAGACTGTGATGAAAAACGCTTCAGGCTGTCAGCTCTAAATATGGCCACAGCCTGTGAGACAGGAAAGAAAAAGAAAAATGACAAAAGAATAAATGGAATAATTGGAATGCCTTAAGGGAAAGTTAAAAAAACCCCCAAAACTCAAACCAAAAAACCTCCAAATACTCATTTTTACTTACTTGGCACTATTTTGACCTTGACTGAAGTAATCTAATTATTTTAATTAGAAATGGGGGAAGGAAAACAGCCTATCAGGTCATACCTAATTCATTTTCTCACCGATGTATGGCTGATTCCCATACAAGAGTCTCCAGTGGACTACATTGCCTTCAGATCTGATCCTGAAAATACTTACTCTGAGCATATTCCCTATGAACTCAAGTCAGATTACGACTGGTAACGAGCACAACACCCAGCAACAGGGACCTCGTGGAAGAGTTCTCCAAGCTCAGTTCTATTCTGCAAATCACCTGATAAAACCGGCAATGTTGGCATTTCATATTTGTTCCTGCAACGGCTCTAGATCCTAGTCTGCTCTGCTTACCAGTGTCTAATCAGCAATTCTGTAAAGCTTTTGCTTGGATTTAAAAATCTGGTTTGGATTCTGTTCGCCTCTCACCTTCCTGACAATAAAAAAAAAAAAAAAAAAATAAAAAAAAATTGCCTCCTACTTTACCACTTCCACTGACGCTGCATGCACTAGAAGAGTATTTAGCTCGCTCCCCTCCTGCCATTAGCAGGGCTAAACATGAACTCTGCAAAGTAGAGCGAACAAACATGACTGCACACAAACAGAACAGGACTACCGCACAAGGAGGACCCTTTTTCCCTGCGTTTTCAACAGGCTACTCACTACTGGAGCAAGTAACGTGGGACTATCAGGCTACTGCTGCGGTTACATATACTCATTATGAAGAAAGACTGAAGAGGTTGAGCTTTTTCTTCCGTAAGAACAAAGTGACCCAAGAGAGTGTTCAGAGTTATGAAGGGGGTTGATATAGTGGATGAGGAAAAAATGGTCATAGCTCCTACGTTTTACCTGCAACGGGTGTCAACTGCTGATTGAGCATTCCCATTGGTGTTGGTGGCGGCACCACCCCCATAAGAGCCCCGACAGGAGTGCCTGCCCGGGGGGAGGAATTCTGCTGCTGTGCTGCTCGCTCTCTCTCCTGCTGCTCAGCAACTTTAGCTGCCCGCTCTGTAAAAGTATTTTAGATTTTCAGTTCTGTTTTGTAACCCAGAATTTCAAAATATTATCTGTTCAAAAAAGGACTCTAGTCAAACACTGGCATAGTTTAGTCAAATATAAAGTAGAACACGCTATTCCGATCTCATATGATTTGATTTCATGTGGCTGCACCTAAGACTTTTAGAGAACCTTTCATGAAAAATATTCCACAAAGTTTTATCTCTTTCTAAAAAAAAATAAAAATAAATAATAAAATAAAAATTTAAAAAGTCAAAGAACAAATTTGATAATAACACCAGTGTTACCAACATGAAGCAGCAGTCCAGCACTAGGCTCAGTCCGCACTAGGAAAACATGGCAAAACGTTCCCTCTTTTGACACCACTGGCTCAGCTAAACCAGTTGCAGTGAAGGCCGGCAGCTCTCATGTAGATCCACTACCAGCTGCTGTGGGAATTTTAAGCACCGTGTCTACCAGACGTGCCCTAGAGTAAGATGCAAATAGCAGATAGCAGTGCCAGCCAGTGGCCCATTTATTCTTGGGCTCCCCATATACTTTACTACTGATGCAGCTGAAAAGCGGTGGCAAAGTCGGGAAGCATTTGCAAAGTTGCCCTAGTGTAGATAGGTCCTTAGTGTTTGGAACATAACAAGCAGCAGTTTGATGAACCAAAAATATTTTTCTCTGCCTCTTTCTGTCGTTTTCCCCATTTGGTCCCCTTCGAGCTATTTTTTTTTTTTTTTTTCTGAAGATGTCTAACTCACATTGTGCTGCTCACTGGAGGTCATGTGTGTCCTTTGTACGATGAATGTGGTCATTATCTCAATCAAGTTTCTCACTGTGACTGCAAGAACAAAAGATCTACTGCAGGGGAATCTGACCAGAGGGCAATTTCATATTAAGGGAAGGGCGAAGGGTCATTGGAAGAAGAAAGAAAAAACCCAAAACCCAAGCAAACAAAAAAAAGGAGATACACTGAATGCCCACTCAAGGTGCTTTGGGGGCATGCAAGTTGCTGATTTGTTTACTCTGAACGTTGTATCTGACTGACGCAACGAGGAACAACAAAGAATAAATGAATGCAGCATACATCTCCAGCAGATTTTAATAACAGTGAATGCAGGGCTAGAAGTTCTCTTGCAGTTGGTGAAAGATGAAAACTGCCACTAAAACAGCAATCAAGGTCCTCTGTCAAACAAAGGCTAAGAAGAAGTACATCAAGGAGCTTAAGTTATGCATCCTGCCAATGTTACTCGTTTTCTCTAGTATATGACTTCAAACGTCTATCACGCGTTTGTCTCCTGTAGAACCTGTTTCTGCAGCTTCTAGCACTACTTCCATACACTGAAAGACCAGTTTCATTTCCAAAGGCATCTCCTTCCTTCTTTTCAGTTCTGTCATTTCAGGAAGCGATGATGACGCATAGAAACTCCTAAATCTACTACAGGCAACTCATACATCATTGAGCACAAAATACACAAGACATTTAAAGGTAGATCCTGAAGTAGAAAAATGAGATAATCCTCTTCAGAGCAGAGCAAGCATTTGGGGAAAAGATGAAGCAGCTGTTCTGACTCTCACCTACTTTTGGCCAGCTAAAAAAAAACAATGGTCAGACAAAAGCAAAAGTTCTCAAGACACTCTGATGAATGAGAAATTACTGTTAAGCATTCAGCTTTATCAGATTTTGGAGTGCTGAGCTTTGAAGAAGGATCTGACGTAGGACAGTACTTGAGTTTTACCTAGTCTCTATCCATGCCGTGACTGCCACGGAACTAACAGATGAAACAACACTGCCAAAGGGAACTGTAGCAGGTGTTTAAGAGTTCAGTCTTGAGCATTCACCTTTGTACTCGATACTAAATCTAAATCATTTAGGCCAGGACTTGAGATCATTCAAGCAACATTTCCAACACATCTCAAGAGACAGGAAAGAGACCTTCTGCTTTGAACAGAGCTTTTCCTTAAAACAGGCCTTTACCTCAATCCCATGCATTATTTTATTTTATTTTGAGGAGTTTTCACAGTGCAGTTAGCCATGCAGGCATTTCCAATGCAGCCTGTTCTTTGCTCCACTATTGCTAAAAATACCAACTATTACCCTGCACATATACCAAATGAAATTTTCAGTGGGTCAAAACGGATCTAAAATGCAAACAACTTTTCACCAGAACACGGAAAGGCACTTTTTCACCGAGGTGTCAAACCATGCCTGTTCCCTGCTCCCTGGTGCATGTCCACGCTAGAGAGCACGTGAATTTTGACTCGTCACAGTGGAAGGAGAGGAGTTTCTCTCCTTTCACACATGGTAAGCAAACACAGTTTGGACGCTTTGTAACCCCATCCCAACCCCTCAAAACCAAATAAAAGTTAAGTCTAGTTCTGGGCAGACACCAAGCCAGAGAAACTGCAGCCCAAAACACAAAAGCTTAGGAAAATTTTAAGCGAGAAAGAGGATTAAAATGGAAGCACTTAGGCAATCATTAACACAGTGGACAGACACTGTCACTACCAGTACATTACAGCTATGCCTTCCTGCAGAAGTACAAGACGTCAAGCTGCTCTAAGCTAGGAAGCGATGACGTGCTAGCTGTCCTACTGCTTAAGAATTAGGCTGTAAGGAGGGACCTGTCAATAAAAAGATAACACGTGCACCTAAAAGGGTGTAAAAGGAAACTACAACAGGAAAAAAGTAAGGCCATAGTACTTTCACAAAGAAAGAGCATTACCATTTCCCTCACAGCATTTGCAAAGAAAACTTGCACATAGCCGAGTGGTGCTATATTACTCTCCAGAATTGCAAAGAGGTACTACTGCAAATTTGGAAAGGACTGAGACAGCTGAGGGTGGAAAGTGATAGCATGCAAACTTCTAGTTTGAAGATCAAAGCTGCCTTTAAGTTATGAGTATGCAGAAAACCTATCAAATCTCATTTTTAAAAAAGCAAAGTTATAACTTAATTGGGCAATAACTTTCTAGGGTGTGAAACTTTCCTACCCAAAATAGCATTTTCTTCCAAAAAAATTGCAACAGTTGCTTAAAAAAATGGGTTTTCTATTGGAAGTGTTGACACATTATGAACTAGAGTAGTAACTATGGATGTTAAGCCAATGTATTTGGCTTGGGTAAGGGCCTGCTGTTAAGGATCAATTGTATTTTATTTTAATCAAAGTTGAAACACAATGACCAATATCAGTAGGAAAGAAAGAAAGAAAGAAAGAAAGAAAGAAATAAAGAAAGAAAGACAGAGAGAAAGTTCTAAAGTATCTCATACCTATGAAATATTCCTAGGCTTACTTCAGGATATGAAATCTCTCAACAAAATCAGTTACAACAGTTGATTAATACTGAGACTGAACAACAGGTCATATTTACAGTATCATAACAGATTCTGTATCCTTGATTTTATTCTACCAAAGCTTTTTAGGACTCTAAGTACTGTCAATCAAAGAACGTTTTTCCGCTCCACTGTAAGCCTTCTTACCTGCCGCTACAGCTCTGAAGAGCTTCTTGTCCAAAATTCCCCCCAGTCCTCCTTTAAGGAAACTTTCACAAACCATTTTTCCAACTGACTTCCAGCCCAGGGGCTTCATGCCCCTTTACTTCTAATTTGTCCCCATTTTCTTGGTCTTTGTTCATTTGCTTATTTGTGGCAAAGACATTTAAATTATCAGTTGTGCACTACATAACTTAAACATGCTCTTTGCTCCTCTTCAGTCATCTCTCAATATGAACTTCTCTTTAAGGTACGTCCAGAATAAAAACACAAATATCTTCTTTTATTAAACCTGTCATCTGAACAACAGTAATGAATGCGTTGAGAAAGAAAAAAAAGCAGAAAAAAGTTTAGCATCTTAGTTTTTATTTACCTTCATATTCTGCTTTCTTTGTTGCTTCCAAGTTTCTCCATTCAGTTCCTACAAGCCTGCTGAGCTCTCCAAAGGAGTAGTCTGGGTGCTGAGCTTTAATCACAGCTCTCATCTCGCTGCTAAATAAGATGTACCCACTCATGTTGATCTTCCTCTTTGATCCCTCCTTCTTGGTGCTGCCCTTAACAGACTTGGGAGTGGACTGTGAGAAAAGGCAGTTATGACCACAAGTGTACAAAAGAGAAGCTTCTCGACAGACAAAATTCAAAGCTGTAAGAAACAGTATTTTACAATATTCCTGCATTTCTCTTGAACATATTTGCACAAGGACCATCCAACCTTACGGCCCCTGAAGAGAGACTGCATCTATTGATGCATGACAAGAGCATACGCACATGCTTATGAAAAGTACACAGGCAAAAACAAAAAAAAAAAAAAAAAAAAAAAAAGAAAATCACAACGTTCTGATGCTTTTCAACCCTTCCAGACATAATGCCACCTTTATAACTGACGCTTCAAAAAATTCTCAGTAAGACAACACAGAATGCTTCCTATTAGCTAAAATCATTCCAAACTGAATGAGAGGACTAAGAAAGGCTGAGTAGCACATAAGTGACTATTTGGAAGGCCAGAAGAGAATAAAAGTAATTGTATTATGTCACAGATTTCATCCATTATGCTGTTCAGAAATATTGCCAAGACAAGTTGAGTAAAACATTTTATTTGGCATTGCACATTTCAGGGAAATGCTTCCCCATTTCCTCCTGGGCCTTTTCAACCCCTACCCTCCCTGGCTCCACCTTCCACTTTTCTCATGCCTAAATGCTCTCTATTTTGCCTGCCAGACTCTCCTTTCTCTCTAGTGTTCACCTCCCATTACATAAGTAGCCATTTCTCCCTGAAAAACCCAAAGCCCAGTTTTGCTGATTCACTCTTTATCTGCACAACAGGTTCACATCACATTCTATATGTTGATGGGTAACAAAAATTCTGCTCCTTTGCTTTTCCCACCACAGATGCTCCTGTTGAGAGCTGCTTGATGTTTCCAGCCATCAAAAAATTCAACCTGTTCTGACAACCACTGAGATACCGCAGCTGGAACCCCCTTTTTGAAGGCTCCTTCCACCTACATTTGTTACAGGAGACCATAATTCACCCATACTCTGATCAGTAAGGCCCATAAATGTATCATCATACCAAAACCCTCAAAAGGCCCTTCTCATATCCCAAACATTACAAATTTCTCACATCTTGAAAAGTGTAATTGTTTCCAAATACCTGGCGTGGAAAAAAAGGAAAGAAAAATATATGCAACTCTTTCCTTCCTATCCTGAAATTCTGGCCATGTTACTAACTCCTTCTACTTGCCACTTTTGAGCCCCGCAGTTCAACACTCTTCTCTCAGCTAAAAACAAAGCTTCAGAGATACCAAGATGCTTAAAAAGTCTTGCTCATCAATTTAAGCCAGGCACTGGATAAACTGAGGCATACTTGTATGTTATTCCAAACTTCACTGTATTAATTTTCAAATGGCAATCCACCCACAATTTCATTCTTGTATTTTCCATTCTTTTACATCTCCGGTACAACCGTTTTTAAATGAACAGAATCCTCTCCGTTTGAGTCAGATAACTGCATATTCAGTTTTAGATGTGTTAAGAGAATAAATAAACCAGGACCCCCTTTTATGCCTTTTCTCAGATATATTGCTAAAGCAAAAAATGAAGTTGCACATCTTTTTATTTTTTAGGTTTGACTTGATTCACAGCAAACTGCAGCAGGAAAGCATCATCTTTTAAATGAACAGAATCCTCTCCGTTTGAGTCAGATAACTGCATATTCAGTTTTAGATGTGTTAAGAGAATAAATAAACCAGGACCCCCTTTTATGCCTTTTCTCAGATATATTGCTAAAGCAAAAAATGAAGTTGCACATCTTTTTATTTTTTAGGTTTGACTTGATTCACAGCAAACTGCAGCAGGAAAGCATCCACCACCAATAGGTGGATCACCTATTTGTCAAGCCCCACAATACCATGTATTCACTTGTCTTGACTCCTTTTATCTTTAGGTGTAGTAAGAGCTTCTTTGTTATCAGAAGAAAAAAAGTTTAAAAGTTCTGGGGTTTAATAGTTGTTAAATAAAATTCCACACATTTAAGACAACATGAAGCAAACACATGCCTTTTATCTAGGAGCTCTGTTTAAAAAGACACTTTTCACTAGGGACGTAAATAGAACAGATTATCTGAAGAAGAAATCTTATTTCTGTGCTATATGTTAGTTATCTCTCCACCAGAGTTAAATTGTGCTCTGAATGCCAGCTCAGACACAACATGCCTTTTCTTTCCAAATCAGCAGTGTGAGGAATCTGCCGGGGCACTTGTGTATCATCATTCACTTCTTAGCATGCATTGCTATTGATCCTTTTCAGTTTTCCTTATTTGTTTGCATCTTTTTGTGGGGTGGTTTGGTTTTTTTTTTCCCAAGTTCTAGACTTCAGAGTTCACATCTGTCTAAAGGTATATACACACGTTGCATATATCCATTGAGCCTGACTTCTCACCAGTTATCCTGAAAGCTCTGCAAGACTGTCCCATTACAAACAATTAAGAAAAATAATAATAATGCAACTATCAACCTGGCTTTTTAAAGAGGTATTATATATTAGTATATATAAGGGAATCTGAGCATAACACAGCTATGTAGAAAGACAGAAAGCAAAGGAGATCAAAAGACAGTGAACACTGCAGAAGGCAGTTTGAGGACATCTTTAATGTCCAATGATCCCTCTTTAAACTGCTTTCAGCAGCTGCCATGCTTAACAACGATAATATTTTGATTCATAAAAAGTTACCTTCCCCTTCCTAAAGTGTTACATTATAGTTGGTTAATGCTGGTAACACGTTTTCTATTTGTAATACTCTGCAAGAGTTTTCATGCTACTTATGAAATTCAGCACGTTAAAACAAGAGCAGCAAGATAACCTTGCACAGGAAAATGCATTTGGTGGTCTGCCCACATGGCAAAAATCACAATCAAACCAAGCTAAAGCTTTCAACTTCATCAACTCTTTTTCGTGACATCAAAAGACAGTTATTTCTATCCAGGGGTCACATCCTTTCCTCAACAACCAATGAGGTTGTCACTTCACAGTCAATGAAACGCAGCAGAAATCCGTATTGCTGGTTACAAAAGTGTCTGAAACTCCCTCCTGTTCCCAGCTGGTCATTCCCGTTGCCTCTTTAATGCTGGCATTAGCTTGGATGTGGCAATGCGATGAGAAAGATAAAGGGTTTCATCCAGTTGCAAACAAACTTTTTTGGTTAGGTTAATTTCCAGTTAAAGCAGTTCCTCACCCTGCTTCAATACTCAGTTACATAAATACCAGGGCTTGTGTAAGAAACACAGCAAGAGAGGGAAGGGGATCAAAAGTGCCCCATTTAAGCAGCAGCAATGACTCATGCCGCATTCAAGCAGCATATAACCACACGTGATTCCTCCTTTACTTCCTACCCATTTATCAGCAAATTAATACTAAAGCTTCTAGGACATCCAGTTCTTCTAACTTTTTTAACAAGTTCTTATTTCCAAGTAAGAATGGTAGCTTAACTAAAAAAGTTATTTTTTTTTCTTTGAGCACAGCATTTTCTAAAAATGTAGCAAAACCATAACACCCGAAATGCTAGCTTTTTTCAAAATTTAAGGAAAAGCTTAAAAATGGGCGTTGGGTAAATTGAGAATTACAGTTAAACCCTTATATCCCAACTCTTTATTTAATATAAGGACCTGATATTTCTGAATAAGTGACATAGAAAAACCTACTAATTAGAAATAACGTTAACATATCATACAAAAATGTACCCTAGATTTTCCTCAACTGAATGATTTCCTTTAAAAATATTTTAATGGACTTAAATATTATCACCTGGATATCATATTGGATATGCCAAAACTGTTCAGTGCAATTTGTTCCACAGACTCATAAACTGAAGTATAAATCTCTTCTGTGCATATGATAAAATGTTACTGTTTGTTTATTTGGGTTGGGCAAAGAACGCGGAATATAAATGTTTAAAGGTTTCTCAAGGAAGATCCTTACCTGTGGTGGAGTATAAGGCATTATATCCAATTCACTAGCGAGTGGGGTCTGAAGCTGAGGCATAGAAGGTGTTTCAGTCATATCACCTTCCTCTTCTCCCATCTCTTCCATGTCCTCGTCGCCTCCTTCCAACTCAGCAAATTTTGCTTCTAGCTGCTGAATCTTCTTTTCCAGTAGCGGAGATGGTTCCTTCTGAGGAACTATGGGTTTTCTGAAAGGTGGAGGAGGAAGACAAAAAGCAGATGAGAACACACTCATACTTTACAGGACATAGCATGTACTTTTGAAGAGAAAACCAACTTTCCGTCCTTTATCATTGAACAACATGGAAACAATGGTGACTCAGGATGTGCCTGTGCTTCCTTTCAGAACACCAAGAAGAAATCATTCAGTGCCTATGGACAGCGTTTCATTTCAGTCACTTGTTTGAAGGATTTTTTTATTTTATTTTTTATCAGTTAGAAGGGGATTTCAATGCAGCAAATACGTCATTTCTGCAATAGAAGGCAGTTAACACCACATCTTCCTTAGATTTTACATTTTACTTAAGTCAGAACTTAATACTCTTATTAATATCAATGTTCACCAACTGGAAAGCTATTTGTTACCCATAATGAGGACTTAAGTATTTTAACAACATCCAAGAGAATTTACCAATCTGATAATGTAACGACTCTTACTAAAGTCAGGAGGAGAAAAAGAAAACATCCACTGGTCTTCAGAGCATGAAAAGACTGATGTTATCTGGACTTCTTTCCAAAAGTGTGGTTAGTCAAAATTCACCTTCTCCTACAACTATGACTTTTATGTATGTACTGGGTCTGGCTGGGATGGAGTTAATTTTCTGCATAGTAGCCCGTGTGGTGCTGTGTTTTGGATTTGTGACCACACCAGTGTTGATAACACATTGACATTGTAGTTATTGCTGAACAGTGTTGGCACATCATCAAGGCCTTTTCTTTTTCCCCACTCTGTCCCCCCAGCAAGTAGGCCAGGGTGGGCATGAAGCTGGGAGGGGAGACAACCAGGACAGCTAACCCAAACTGACCAAAGGGATATTTCATACCATATGACATCATGCTCAGCAATAAAAGCTGGTGGAAAGGAGGAGGAAGAGGGGACATTCAGGGCTATGGCGTTTTTCTTTCTGAGTAACCATTATGCACGCTGAGGCCCTGCTTTCCAGGAAATGGCTATAAACATCTGCCTGCCGATGGAAAGTAGTGAATTAATTCCTTATTTTGCTTTGTTTGCGTGTGATCATACCATATGACATCATGCTCAGCAATAAAAGCTGGTGGAAAGGATGAGGAAGAGGGGACATTCAGGGCTATGGCGTTTTTCTTTCTGAGTAACCATTATGCACGCTGAGGCCCTGCTTTCCAGGAAATGGCTATAAACATCTGCCTGCCGATGGAAAGTAGTGAATTAATTCCTTATTTTGCTTTGTTTGTGTGTGAAGCTTTGATTCACTTATTAAACTGTCTTTATCTTGACCCAGGAGTTTTTCTTCCTTTTGCCCTCCCATGCTGTCCCCCATCCCGTTGTGGGGGAGTGAGCGAGTGGCTGGGTGGGGGCTTAGCTGCCAGCCAGGCTCAGTCCACCACAATACAGAAGAGTGCTCAGGTGACCCCCACATTCCCATCACATTTTTACCTAAAATAGTATATTTCGTCATCTACAACTTTTGCAGAGAGTGAAAACCTCTTCAGCCCTTTAAATTTCTTCATTTGTTTGTCACTTTCATTGTAGCGGCTCTCACAAAGAAAAACATCATTTTCAGAGATTTCTGTTGGTCTGCAGGAGAGGAAGTCTTTGAACGACAGAACTGCACACTTTCCTGCAGAAATGAAAGAGCTGGGTAAGAAGGCAGTCACACTTGCAGACATTTTACAAAAAGTGTGGAAACTGAAGTTTTTGCCAGTCTCATAAGTCTGGAAGATTCCCGGTATTTGGCACAACTATGGAAAATACACCAATTGATATCCCTATTAAATAATGCCACTCACGAGAAACCTACATGAACTTAAATGCAGCTTTTGGATTTTTTTAAAAAACCAAGAAAACTGCAAAATAACAAAACTCCATGATCACTAGTCAATTAACTATATTTAGCACAGCATCATAACTACAAAACAAAGTACATAGTCATCATCTTATGCAACAAACCAAATTTCAGCCTCCTTCTGGACCGACTTTCTAGGTAACACATAGCGGAATAATTACATTAATATGTGAGAAAAATGAAGTTTTCTGTTCTCTGGCTGCAGACAACGTTCACTTTGATATCATACATGTCATTCCCTTATTGTAAGAAAGCGTCCTTATAGTGAAAATTCTCACTACAGCTCCCAAAGACAGGAATGCATATTAGAAATGGACTGAATAATCTCTCCTCCCCCACTCAACATGGAAAAAACCGTACTTGGAATCAAGCCTACACATAGCTATATATCACTTCAGATTGTATAGGAAAAGAAAGAGAGTGTCCATTGGATTTCAAGTTGTTAATAATTACCCAAAATGCAAGTCATCGGACAGGTCTCCTCCAAGTTACTCAAAAACACTTCCTTCTTGTAGAACATTTTAGTTGGTTCATGTTCAGTTTCTTCAGGATGTATAAAGATTGGACCAAAGAAATATGCAGCTCCATCTCGCACCCACATCTTTTCAATTCTGGAAAGAAAAGCAAACCACTGACATAAATGAAAGGCCATCCCTCCTAAATGAGACACCTGGACGCATTAGGTTGTTCAGGAAGACTGTCAGTAAAAAACGAGTACAGAAGAACAGCCTATTCCAACTGTACAACTGTATCACCTTTTTATTAGGTGGCTAAACTTCTACCTCAATCTATTAAGAGCTTGTAACATTTAGCTTAATTCAGAAGATTTTTTTTCCCCATCCTCTTTTAAACTTTTGCAGCAAGCCCGTCTTTTGTCCAAGTTATTTTTATACACACAAACTGCAAATAAAGAAATTGCACCTACCTTCCTACCCGAGGTCGCACTAACCCATGTGATTTTATGAAGACACAGTCCCCAACCTTAAGCCACATATCATTGTAGCAGAGCTGTTCAAAGTAATGGCAACCAGGTTCTCCATTGGACATTTCTACCGGAACATCTTCTTTGTCCTGCAGAAGAATACGCATTTAGAAACTTGTGGAAGAAGGAAAACCAAACACATATATAAAAAGATGCCAGGTTCAAGTAAAAGACTTTGCTCTATCTTTATGTTACCAGTAATAGGTAAACACTAACAGAGATGTACATGCGAAAGTGAGGGGCCTTGAAATTTAGAAATGAAATAGCAAAGCCAAAGATACCCTCCATGTACACAAAGCCGTAATTTTGCCAGAACAGTAATTTACAGGTCCTTTTTTCTTCTACTGCTTCAAAGTTAACTGGCCAAGCCAAGCCTTGTCAGCTTATTTTGATGGTTTGTTTTAAAGCACAGTAACATGCTTAAGAGGCAAGAATTGAGTATATGACCAAGTTACATACATAGAAATTTAATGATTCAACTCTCATATACAATAATATGAACACTCCGTGTATTGCTTGCAAATTCATACCATTTGCCCTATTTAATTTCTTACTTTTTAGTTAAAACCCACATTGTGCCGCATTTGACCTTTTAGTCTAGGATTTCAGAAAGCCCATGAAAACACAGGCTATCTCCCCAAGGCGTGGAAGGAAAAGACCCTACAAGTTTTCATTCTCTCAGTAGAAATAATTCCTTCTTTTGTCATGATGTGAATAAATACAATATATACACTAAGTGTCTGACTAAAGCTGACAATGAGTGTCAGAAACAGGATATTCTGTTCTGAGGTTCTGTTAGAGAACTCAGTGTAAAGTGGATTTATTTTATGACTCTAAATTTATTTTTTATGGCTCTAAATTTATTTTAGATAACTTTAATTCAATTTACTTGAATTTAATACATTTATTTAAATTTATTTCTTTTATGACTCTAAATACAATAAACTAAACCATTTTACCCAGTATGTTGGACAGAAATATTCTTAAGCATTTCGACAATAAACTACTCAGTCATCAACCATGAATAGGTCACAAACAACAGAGTATTACGTATTGCTTACTGCTGCCTAGCTACTGCCTATTTTAGTGAAATACTACACAATAAAGCATTTCAGCATTGCCATGAACTAAAATTAGACTTTTAGTTCTACTGATTCTTTAGGCTTAAGGCAAGCTTTACAGTAAAAGTGTAATTTTCTTTTCTTAAGTGGTAAAAAAACCACAAACCAACCCCTTCACACGATCACAAGAAAGCATTTGTAGAATCTAGCAAATATGTACACAGTTTATTTTCTGTTTAGTCTATTTATATTTTGTTTGTATTTATTTACAAATGTGTATAACAATTTATAACATAAACTTTATTTATATTTTATTGTGTCTGAATGCTGTGAAACCAAAGTCATGAGGGCTCACATTTTGTCATTCTTTATCTGTCGAACATAATTGATGTTCCACTTGTTATCTTACATACCTTTTCAAGATGAAGCATACTTTCTCCCACCTTACTGTCCTCCAATGTTTCAGCGTGTTTCTCTTCATCTACTTTGTCTGTATTAGCAAATACAGAAGCAACACGGACCACAGGCAGGGGTACATCTCGTGGGACAAATCTTACAGAGCTTACAGGCATAGTCCACAGTTTAATCTTTTTAAAAGATTTTGTCTTCGCAGAATAACGTGACTCACAGACATAGACATCCTCATCTCTGAAGTTTTCAGGACACAATTTAAAATATTCCTGCAGATTGAAGAAAAAAAGGTGAAATATTTCAGCAACACACACACGTACCCCACAGACACACAGTGAACTCCCTCTCATGCTTCCTGTTTTTTTCTACGTTTCTATCAGAAAGACTTTTAGACTAAGAAAGCCTTTCTGCCGAGTTCTTTTCTTCCAGTTTGACATCCAAGTTATATTAAAAATTAAAAGCAAACAACAAGAAATCCCACCCTTAGAGAAGAAGCTAAATTCAGTACAGGTTATCATGTGAGAAAAGTTAGGTTTTATTCGTTTACCAAACTGGTACATCAACAAGTACAAGACCTGCAGCCCAAAACCACCTTTACAAGATTTCTGAGCTTTGACTTGGAAAGAGGACATGACCACCAAGTTGGGGGGCAGGGGGGCAGGAAAGTAAGCTCCATGCTCATTGATATGTGACTGATACCCATTCATGTACGCAGCAGCTGTAGCACTTTTTTCCATACAAACACACTACCTTCTAAAAACTGGCTGAGATAGGTATGTTGCAAGCAAGCCAAAAATTCTCAGCACAAGAACAATGTGGAATCAAACTTGAGACAGAGGTGAAAGACTTCATCCTCTTACCAAGCCATTCAATTCTCCCTCTCTACCAAACCTAAATCTACATGCTTTTATGGAAACCTTTAAGAAGTTACCTGCAATTTCTCTACTACATGCTCTGAAAAATCAGTTAGCTAATTATCTAACAGGCATATGATACTACAAACCAACCAGCACCAAGAAACACCATCACTTGCATGAACTACATTGCTCATGAAGCAAATGAAGAATACAAACAGTACACAGGAGCAAGTCCTATTTTATTTAAGAATTAGTAGAATGTCTCTGTTAGGATGCCTACACCTCTTCAAGAAAACAGCAGAGAACATATTTGCGTAACAAATTAGTCTGAATAGTCTCTTACCTTAACAAACATGACCACACATTTGCCTAAAATTTTGCTAACAGGAACTTTATTGTAATAGTCACTCTTAAAAACTTCCTTCTCCAAGAATTTTCGTGTTGCAAGATGAAACGTTTCATTTGGTCGATAAAACCAACAGCCGTAGAGCCACTTCTCGCCTGAGAGAGAGATCTCGCCTGAGAGAGAGAGAGAGAGAGAGAGAGAGAGAGAGAGAGAGAGAGAGAGAGAGAGAGAGAGAGAGAGAGAGAGAGAGAGAGAGAGAGAGAGAGAGAGAGAGAGAAGGGAGAAAGAAAGAGAAAAAGATGTAAAATGGTATATTCTCTACTGCATCAGCAAGAAAAAACAACTATAGATTGATTGATCAATCTAATAGCCATGTAGTCATTTAGACTGAGAGTAAACTGTTTTAAAACAGGACAAGATTCCTTAACTGTTTCAGGTAAGGAAAACTAGGTGGCTTAAAAAGCCTGCAAATTGGTTTTTCCACAGTAAAATCTGACTCAGCAAAATAAAGGAGGAATCAGTTCTGTTGAGTCAGATGACTTCAGGAAACAGTCTGCAATTTATTTATAAATCTTGACTTTCAGGCCTTGAAATGGCTTCAAAGTCTACACAACAATCACCTGATTATTTGAAGAACCTTTGGTAACTGGTTTCAAGTTTTTTAAGAACTATTTCTTCCATATTACACTGTGACAGATTCAAATTGTTAACAATGATTTATAAAGAAGTTACAGATATGTACTATTTTTCTAAATCAAAGAAAATCTGTAATCTGTAGACTGAACCAGAATAAAAAGTTCTTTCTCCATCACAGACAAGTGAACATAAGAAACGTCCAACTGGCCAATGGTCCATCTACCCAAATACACTGCATCCAACTGAGTGAGCAGGACAGGCTATTAGAAGAACGCATTTGATCTTGGCCACTCTCCATAACTCATTCCACTCCTTCTATAGTCATTCCATTAGGGGTGTTAGAGAGCTATTCTTTCTATCTGGCTATTACTTGCTGGTTATTTCCTTTATTATTTGGTTTAGACCTGTTGTACATGGACTTGTCTCACCCATTTTTGAACCTGCTGATACGATCTGCCTCCACAAGCTCCTGGGAAAGCCAGGAGGCTCACTACCCACTGTATCAAAAAGCCAAACATTTTCACGTGTTTTAATCTGATTTATTAGTGTCAATGAGTGCCCTCTAACTCTAGTACTGCTGGATTTGTTGAATAGTATTTCTGCATTCACTTTATCTACTCACTTCATGATTTTGCAAACCTTAATTATATCCTGCCTTACATTTCTCTTCTCCAAATTTAAGAGTCACGGTCTTTTTAATCTGTCCTTATAAAATACCCGTTCCTTCCCTTTAAAAAAAAGTACAACCAAAATGCTTAACTCCACTATACCCCACTGTAGCTCTCAGCAACTGTAGTTTCCAGGATTGCTGAGAGTGCACCATGCTTATCTGATACTCTTGCCATATCTCTAGCCTTCCTTACACTTAAGAGAAGTATCTGCTGCAAACAGAAAGCATCACTGATGAGAAAAAACAAAACAGTACTTGTTATGGCTTGATTTGGCCTAGGAAATGCAAGATTCAGCTCAATTCTGAAATTCAACAAAGGCACGTTCTGAAACTGAGTTGTTCTGTGGAACACTTGCAGTTAAATGTGCCCAACTTTAGTTCAGATTTCTCAGCACAGAAAAACCCCATATGTTCTTCTGCGCCTAAACTACAAGGACCCCATCCCACTTAGAAGAGCCCATTCTCTGGGACGCTTACCATTTGAGGGTAGGTAGAGATGAACAACAAAAAGTGTGTGCTGATCCAAGAGCTTTATATTTGTAATATTCTTTGGAACAAAGCAACTCAGAAACAAGAAAAATACTCACCAGTCCACACATACTTCTGCAAATAAAATAAATAACATCTACACAGAAAAAGCTCAGATTGGAAGTTTTAAATAGTAATAATAATAAGTTTCACCATGTTGTTTTCCTATAGCAAAGACATCCTTACCAGCTGAATCTTCCCACAGCCTCTCAATACAGACAATGTGAGGCTGCAAGTTGGCTTCAGCAGGTTCCACATACACATAATCTCCTACATGGTACATGCTGTTCTTGAAGCTGCAATCCTGGCTGTAGGTCCGATGCAAGCTTGACAGCCCAGCTGATCCAGAAGAATCTTCACTCTTTTCAGCTTCTTATTTCAAGAAGGGAAAAATAGATGTTAGTAATGCCACATTTCCACATTTGCCAAGATTGCCGATATGAATGCCCTCAACCCTTTGCTGAGTGCAGAAGTGCCGCATGCAAAAGTGCCACATGATACCTGATGCGTCCCTCTGTCACTGACTTCCAGCGTGAAGGAAGGGTTTAAGCGTGTTTTGTGCTGCTAGCCTTACTGCTACTGGTGCTGCTGAAGGTTGGGTTTCCCTTCTTCAGTTGAATTTTATTGAGCCCTCCCAGTGAGTGAAGAAGAACTCAATGACAGCACTGAGCTCAGAAGCCTTCAGAGAGGCAAGTTTCGCTTTCTTTGGGGTTTTTAGCTCTCAAAGGAAGACAGAAAAAGGGCATCACAGCTGTTGTCCCCTTATAATACTGAGCCTGGTTGGAGTAACCAGACTTTACTGCTGCCGACATTAGTGCTATGTGGGAAGATGAACCACGTTAGAAAGACAATTCAAGGACAAAGAGCTAACAGCTCTGCTCCCATCTGTGGAAAGGAGCAATTAGAAAGCTTTATTCATTCCCCTAGACATGCTCCACAACAATTATACGGACAGCAACAGCCAGGAACTGCGAAACACAAGGGACCTTCACAGTAGGTTTCTTGCCCTACAAAATAGTGCAAGCCCATTCCTCTTCACACTTACAGTAGCCAAGTAAGAAACACAAAAGGCTTACTTAAATACCATTTCTTTAGCAGTGTTAAAAGCATGATCACAGACAACACCATCAGCACATCAAGAAACCAGTATTTGTCAAAAAGGAAATGACTAAAAGGTCAATTGGAACAGTCATTGCTAAGTTTATTATCAGCAGAAAGCTATAGTAAAAAACTAGTGTTTTCTTTTATAATATCCTTGAAATAAGACTACTGGCACCCCAATGCGTTCTGATTAAAGGGCTTACATAAGGTTAGTATCTACCTACATCTCTTTCTTAAAGCTGTCTGGCATGACTGCTAAGGATCAAAATAAAATAAATGCCTCGTAACTTTAAAATGCAAGACCCTTGGTGGACAACCAGACTATTAAGGTCCTTTCAGTAGGCGAAGCTGCAGTAATAGCAGAGCATACATCATATGCATAGGTACATTTTTCAATTAATACATTTAAAATTAATGAAAAGAAAGTAGTTACCTCTCTTCTCCTCCTCTCTTTTGAGCTTATCCTCCTCTATTTCTTTGGGCAGCTTTTCCTTCTTTTCCTTTTCTACATCGTTGTGAAGATGCTTGGTGGTATAGCTGAGAGCGGGTGACAGAAGAATCTCTCCGTTCTTACAAAGTTCATCTCGAATTTTAATAAAGAACTGCTGAAGTTCAACCGCATCCTCATAAATCTCCGAATCAGTCCTGTACAAAAATACATACAACAGGGCAGAAACATAGTTTGTGCAGAGTCAAACAGGATCCTAAACACATACCCATCAATCACCACACTTCGTGATAAAACTAAAGCTTCACTCTACCAATAGATTTCTGTGCTTACTCATAACAAGCAGCAGCAGACACTGGCAAGTCATGCTCCACCTGCTACTCCGCTGCCAGTTTGTATTACAGTTTACCTAAAACAGTATTTTTGTACACACCAGTCCTGAAATACCAGAAAAATCAAAAGGTAACTGGTTGCGACCAAAACTACTTGCCACCGGACCTCTACAATCTGTTAACTTCTGAAAACTTGAGTAATAACATTATTAACAAAACTGACTTATTTTAATTGCCCAGACTCCTGTTAGTAGATGCTTTAATATCATTTTTTACCTCCCCTCCTTCAGAGTCAAAATCTCACCTGCACATCCCCAAGTACTCTACCTAATTCAAGTAAAACACTGCAAGAAGTTGCGAGTGTTCATAGCTTTTGCACAATATTACCATAACTCATACAACTGTGATTGCTCCAAAACGGTAATCCACTAGTCAAGCAGTTAGCGAACAGCTCCTCCTCTTTGTTTTTTCAATTTGAAAGTTAGCACAAATCTGGTTTTCATCAGGTGTGCCTTTGGAATATTAACATTAAAATTATCTCATGGCAGAAACCTAACTTTTGCCTTGTTTTTAAATGAAAGCATACATTCCACTGAAGACCTGATAGAGCTTTTGAGATTTAGTTTTCTAAACACCCATATCAAGGAAAGCAAACACCTTAAAAAAACTTCAGCCTTTGTCTAACATTAAACATGCAAAACTCATGTGATAAGAAAAAGATACCTGAACAGTATGGCTTCGCTCACCTGTTCATTCTCCTTGCCCTCTCCAGTACCTCAAACATATTCTCCTGGAACAAGTCCAATCTTCTATAGCGATTATTTTCAACATTTTTTCGGATAATATCAAAAGTCAGAGGAGGTTTATTTGGGAAGTTGGGATCAACAGCAGGAATCTCAGCTAAGGAGTCGCTGTAGCATCTGCCCTCATCGTCCTGGTGGCTCATAACAGATACAAAAAGGTTATGGATAAGTTCCTGAATTAGCAAAGTGACATTGGGCACATGAGAATCCTCATCTCCTTCTATTTCTCTCCGAGTTTCAAGCAAAACTTTATGCAGGACCAGAGCATCTTTATAAATCAAAGATTCTGGCTCGTTGTATGTGCAAGCGTTATTGAACATCATTACAAAGTCCTCTACCATGGAATCAATATCCTGGTATTTATTTGCCATCATATGACTTCTGATCTTTTCCATGTCAACGGGCTTTTTAATGGTTACATAATAGTCAGGAAGTTCAGACCGAGATGGCAGCCGCAAGAAGATGGCGCTCAGTCGCCTGCCTCGTTTATCCGTGTAATTCTTAACTGCTTCATACACCTCATTCAATTTCTGTTGCATTGGAGTCATGTATTTTGATTTTTTAGGAGAAATGCCACTTTTTCTACCTAAGCAGACAAAAAGGAAAAAAAAAGAAAAAAGAAAAAAAATCATTACAAAACCAGAGCTTGCACACTTCTTTGTCTATCTCCTTTCCATTGGAGAATTGCTTATTGAAGAACCTTTTTATGGTATGAGCAGAAGACTTACAACATGGAGCCCATTCCAAGTTGCAGCTTCCTTTATTTTTCATACTTGTATGAATATTTTTTTAAATGTTATTGTTGGCAAACACAGAATCATATGTTCCTATGTGGTCCACCTGGTGAAGGTCTCTTCAGACTTATGCAAAGAAAACATTAATAACATTAGGTAGGGAAAGATAACTCCTCTAAATTCAGTTTGGTCTTACTAGCTCTAGATTAATTTCTCTCTACAGCCGTTAAAAATCCAGTTATCACAGGGTTTTTGCTATCACTAAAATTAAGCATTCTAAATATTATCAGATTCCTTTATGACAAATCAGAGAGGATTATTACAGGTAAAATGTAAAATAAGACCTCCCATGGGATTATCAACCAGATTAGCTTTTTGATTAATTCAGGATCTCTGTTACCGTACTGCATAGTCTCTGTGAATTCTCTACTACCTGTACCTTACCTAAGAGCTGCACATTTCTATTTCAAGAAGGCTGGTGCAGTTATTTTCTTTAAGCTTTTCTGTGCAATTTTAACCTTCTCAGTTTGCTAAATTCTGAACACATATTAAGGGGACATGAGATTTGAGTAGTAGCAAACCTAGTTTTTAAGGGCAACAGGTCTAGGAACAGATATTGTTGGAAATTTCACCTCTGTGTTTTTCATGGCTTTCAATAATTTTACAAATAAAGTTCATATTTCTTTTATCATTCTGTGGAAATCCCAGACATTTGACCAGGGAAATTAAGAGCTTTACTCAGTTGGAGAAGCACCTTACTTGTAAGCAATCCCAGCAGCACACATTAAGTGTGCTAATGAAGTGTTACTGAGCACATAATGCAGCATCTAACATTTGGATAACACCACATGACTAAACGCCAGTCATTCCAACCATTCCTAAGTTTTCCTTCTTCATTCTTAGTTACTTTTCTTAGAAAACACTATATGCAACAACTGAGTTCTATTATATACACATATAAACACACCATTGCTGTCATGATTTTGAAAATACAATTCTACTTTGCATGTCAGTGTAAATTTGTAGATCACGTCTTCTATTCTAAAAGGAAGATCTGTTAATCTGTATTGGTGGGTTTTCATAAGTGTTGAAATGACACATAGCAATGTATGAGGTTGCCTTACTTAGCTTTAGTTTAGGGGATGCAACATCATCATCTTCAGCTAGGGGTCCCAGTTCTTTCCTTTTTTCTTTAAGGATCTTTTCCAGCATATGAGCATCATTGTATACCTATTAATCAGTAAAGTAATAAAAAACCAAAACAAGGTTTACTGTGTTTAGACTAGTTTAGAACTAGCCCCCAAGAAACATTTAAATGTTAGTTTGGAAAAAGCTGAATGCAAAACCAAGTGCTTGATTAAAAAGAAGGGCTTATTTCTCAAATGTACACCTTTCATAGACTTGCACAGGTAAGCAGAACTGATGAACACCATCTAAATCAGGAGGTATATAAATCTTGACTAAATATTATCCAGTTAAGCTGCATTTCTATTCCAAAGACTACCAAACAGCAAGGTGCAGTTGTCTTAACCTCCTCATCAAACCATTCTGCTGAGCAATGGAAGATCTCTTGAATTGTTGTGATTCCATCAAGGTACACAGGACTAGAACAGTCCTCCTGGGTCTTCAAATCCAACCCCAGTGAACACAACCTCATCATAAAGTCCTGTACGGTAGCTGATCAAGTTCCTCATTAGAAATAGCTGGAGGTTTCTTACCACCACTCTGTTCCACATCATCATGCTTGCTGGCTGAGAAACATCACGATACAGAAACACCCTACGATATATTTTTGTAAGTGAAGAGCATACTCCTTTCAGACTCCTTTTGCTAGACTAAACAAGTCAGGTCTTCTAGTCTGATCTCCCACACTCTCCACTTCCATGAAAACAAAGCTGGTTTCTTTCCAACTAAGACATCCCTTCTCAGAGGTTCTGAGCTCTAAATCACATGCTAATGACCATTCACTGTGCAAATACCTTCACGTGATTAATTGAGGACAAATAATGAGAATTTAGTAACTAGCTTATTTTTTTAAAACATACTAGGAAACATTCAGCTGACATTCTTTGTAGTGGAGGAACAAGTTTAGCTAACAGGAAATAAGTCTAACCTTCGCAAAGGAGCATGTTGCATTTCATGTTTATACAACTATAGACAAAGACAGAATTTAAAACAACAGCAGAAAGAAAAAGTCACATTTCTATTTTAGTTCCATAAACAATTATCATAAATAATGCGAGTAATAGTCAAAGCTAAACCATCCTAACATAACTTATATGTCTGCAAAGAAGCAGAGAGGTAAAGTGTGACTGCAGAATCAAAACACTACCTGGGAGCCTTCCTCGTTATAATGCCTTGCATTTCGGAACATGAGCTTCATGTCTTCAATCATGGCTTCTTCCCCTGCGTACTTATCATTGCGGATGTTGTGTTCTATCATTTTCAAGTCCATTGGCTCCAAGATAATCTTGTAATAGTCTGGATAGTCCTTTTTGGATGGCTTAACCATAAACAGATCACAGAGCCGTCTGCCTGTGCCCGGTTCTCGAGCTTCCAGAACTGCATTGTATAAGATCTTCATTCGTTGTTTTCGTATATTCTTTTTACTGTTAAGAACAAAAAGGAAAAGAATAAATGTCAGTGGCTCTTTTCCCCACTTCCAACACTAATATCAAAATGACATTATCCTCTACCATGAGAAAACCACCACAACCACCTAAACACACACACAAGAAGTTCAATATTAAGACAGTGTACTAGAAACATAGGTCCATTTGCAAATAATGACAGCATCATAACCAGCAGTCTGCTAAATAAACTTTAAGATAGGATTTTTCTCTTATTCGCCTTGAGTTTAAGTGTTCTACGGAATAAAACAAACAACTAGTTTTCAGGAGTGCAAAGATCAAAGGGAGCTCTAAGCACTTTCCAGCCGCAGAGAAAACAGATCAGTCAGGACTAGGCATTGGAATTCAAGACCTCAAGATCTAGTGCAAACAGGGAAAAACCCCTCAGCCAGTATCTTCATGACTGCCTCTGCTGAATACAGAATATCAAAAACTTGAGCTATTTATCTCAGAGTAATTCTGTATCTTCTTCAGTACGAGATACAAGAAAAATGAGGACATCAAGAATGTAGTAGAAAGAAGGCTCTGAATTGCTTCAATATCTGTCAACCACAGTCAAATGAAGTTACAGGTCAAAAAAGCTCACCAAAACTGCAAACCCAGGTAGAAAATGGCCACGTACATGGTATCACCACAAACTTTAGAGTCATCCTATGTGTAGCTATTATGGTTGTCTCAAGAAATCTGACAGCACAACCAAGACACAGCTTATCAGGAAAAGAGTTATGCATGGCTCCCTGTACATATACTACATGATTTATAAGCAAATCAGATAAGGGAGGGGAAAGCTTATGTTAATAATTTATAATCTCAGCTTAGATACTGTGGCACTCTTAGAAATGCACTCCCTACAAAGCACTTTTAAACGAGCTTCCAATTGCAATCTCTGTAAGACTTATTCACGTAGTTGTAACTCTGACTACATAATCTGTAAAGACAACAACAACAATCTTAATTTGCAGAATGTGCAAAACATCACTGTACAACTTGCTAGAAACCAAACTGCATCACAGATTTTCCATCATCTGGATCTTTTCCTCCTACATTTAAAATATATCTAATCCAGCATAGCCTCATGCCTCAGATACCTCTTGCTCCTTGGTGAGGTCAGCACAATAACTAATGAAAATTAATGTTACAACACATGAGAAAATTCAAAATGTATCTTCTATAGGTTAAAAACCTTTTTCTGCATTATCTTCACTGCTGGAAACTGTTACTTAGTGGTTCACACTAGCAGATGAGTAATGCCAGAACAGAGACGTGCTTCCAAATTCCACATTTTAACATGTTTCCAAGTTTTAACATTTAGTTCAATGAAAGTAGGTAAAGTAAAACCAAAGCAGAAATAGTAAAAGGCCTGCCAATACTCAAGATTCAGGTCATGCATCTGATACATATCTGTGTCACTATTATTTTCCCAGTGGGATGAATTTTGCCTGGGTTATTAGTTTCCTTTTTCAGCAACATTTTGGAATTCCTCAGTGCTTCACTTCTGCTATCAGCAGCATTTACAATCTTCTTTTACTTCCTATCATTCAGCAAGTGAAACTGGTAAGTATTGAACTGACAACATCAAAAGCATTTTCAGGTTCTCTTCAGGTATGAAGAAAATAAAATCATTTTGATTTCCCTTACCTATGAACGCAACTTTTTCTCTTTCACTGTTCTTAGATGACAAGGCCTGACAGATTTTTTTTCTTTTAAGCATTTCAGTATTCTATTGCACAAGGTGATCAAAAGCAACATAGGGTTAAAAGGACACCGATGACAGTTTGACTTGCTTGATTAGGTTAGTAGTCTCTTTGAATCTGAAGATCGCAAAACTAGCAATTTTTGCAGTTTGTTCCTTCCTGATCTTCATTCGGTACCGTGGTCTGTCTTACCATTCCGCTACTTTTCTTCTTCCTAGCATCCCTAGACTGTACCACCTCCTAAATCCACGTTAACATTTTCTCTCTGCAGATTTTTTTATGAGTGTACATTGTTGCATTTACTTGATTGCTCTTAAGTGAATCTTTGCTGATGCTCTATTTCATTCCCGTCCTCCCCCCCACAACTGCTGTCACTTTGACAAAACAAAGAACTAAAAATACAGGAAGCTGAAGGTTATAAACACCACCAAAGAAAGATGCTCAATTACAGTTTTACACTGGCAGTTGCTACCATTGCAGTAGTATTATCAGAAGTTGGAACTTATTTCAAATGATACCATGAGGCAGACTAGAGAAACTATCACTTGTTGGAGTGAAATACATCACTAATATTAATTACACAACAGCTATCACTGTTAAAGAATACTTTACATAAACCATCATTATTGCTCACTAAGAAGAGTATATTTTAAAATCACTGTGAATTTTGTTTACATTACAGTATCCAGAATAATCAACCTATTATACTTAGTTTATCTATTTGTCAAATGCCCTTTTTGGCCCAGCAGCTGACAGGTAAGTAACCAAAGAGTGCAAATTCAGAAAGAAGAGAGAAGCAGTCCTCTAACATTAATGATGAAAACTCCTCAAGCACAGTTCAGGTCATGGAAAATTAAAATATTTATGCCAGGAGACTTCACCAAATAAAAATATTTATAGAGTAATACTACAAACTTTCAAAAAATTAACTCAACTATAGCGTTATATTCTGAAATTGCTACCCAAACTACATAAATAGTCATATATCGGAGAAGTAGTAGAAAAAAAGCAGTAATTGCTAAAAACCTGTGAAGACAGTCCACACACCAGGCTAAAATAAAAAAACCAAAAACCACAAATAAAAATCCTGGAATCCACTGACAAAATTACCTAATCCAGTGCAACTACAATGTCTATGCCACTTACTGAACTGATGTTGACAACTGCCAACTAATAGGCCAAAAAAGGAAAATAATGTCAGCAAAAGGTTTTGAATTCATTAGAACCAACACTTAATGGGTTAAGTTTCAGAACTACAAATCCTTACAAAAATGCTAAAAACCATGGCTTAATATTCTCTTTAACAAATAAAAGATGTAGCAACGTTATGGTCTGCAGGAACGACAGAAGTGCATACCTTTTCCTTTTTGAGCTTCCAGTATCAGATGTAGCAGAAGAAATCATACTGTCCCCATCCTCAATGTCGTCTCTCCTAGCAAGCTCCTTCTTCTTTGCCTGAAAAAAGAAGAAATCCCTGAAGCCAAACTCACTGCTGGACATTTCCAGAACAGTATTAAACATCAGAACAGATCAGATGCACAAAGAAAGATGCAGCTACAGGTTTTGAGACTAAACCACCATCAAAATATTTCCAGTGATTTATTTAATACAAGTTGGCCGACATAAAATAGCAGTATAATTCTTTTTAACTGTCAGAAAATTTTTGAGGAATCAATTTGAAAACAATGTCATTTCAGACTGCAGCACTTAGCTGGAACACTTAATGAAATTTGAAGTGTTTTAGCATCCTCCAATTATCTGCAAACCCTAAAAAACCCCACATCATCAATTTTCTCACAACTTAACTGGGTTAAGAGTCATAGTAAGGAATAAAAGTGACCAAAAGAAATCACAGAAGGCAGCAGATGTGCTGAAGAAAAATCACCCTACGATGCTCTTCATTCTCATACTTCCCCCTAAGCAAGAAAATACTACTGCAAATAGAGGTCTAGTTAAAAAATATTTAGGAAAATATTCATTAGAGAAATAAGTTCACGTGTGAAGTTATCCTTTTGATTGCTCTACTCCACATACCTGCATAACCTGCTGCATTTTCAGTACTCTTTTATAGATGGCAGAATTGGGAACGTTGTAGCGCTTGGCATTTTCAAACATCAAGTTCAGATCAGCCTCCAACTGATCTAAAGTTTCATATTCATGGTTCTTCAGTTTGGTTCTGAAAAAGAGTGGAATATCTGACTGGTATTTCTCAAGTTACACATTGCAAAACAGTACCTTAACGTCTTCATTTTCACAATAAATCAATATCCAAAGACCTCTAATTCAGGACCATGTTTTCTTTTTCTGATGCTGCAGTAGCATCTTCCAATTGTACCTATATTAGGCAAACATATCTCCCCTTAAAGAATGATTTTAATAATTCTGAAAGCTGCCCTCTTGAAAGTTGTGCAGACTGAAGTCCTGTTTTCATACTCAGATGAGATGTGGCACAGATGAGGCAGAAGCACAACCTGCTGAGACTATTCCAGGACGCCTCAGCTGTGACCTGTAGGGCTTGGGTATGATGTCAATGTGACGGGTTAGCTCCGCACAGCCACAAATGCTGCCTTCCCTACACAACATCAATTCCACTCATCTTCAATGAGAAACAAAAGCGCCCAACACCTCTCGTACTAATCCCCTCCAATTTTTGCCGTCTCTTAAAACCACCTGGTTGTTGATCGGTGCTACCTGCAGAAGTGCAATTCACGTGAAAACAGTTAGAATAGGACTAATGACAAAAAAAAGTCATTCTTCATATGCTAAACAGATGAATCAGTGCACTTAGTTTGCCAATAACTTAATGTGTTTTCTCATATTTCCTTGCACAAGTGGTGAAAGTTTTAGCCAACTTTTTTAAAGCTTCCAACACCTCATTAAACACAACAGAAAATAGTAATCTGCAACAACAAAAAACCCAAACCCTTATCACAACTGCAAAACACAGTCGTCCTCCTTCACACCTCCTTCCTGACCCGCTTGCCTGTTACTCCACACATTTAACCTGCTCACCACCTGTAATCCTAGTCTGGTTTCTACAGCACCTAACTTAATGTGAACCTGCCTGATGAAGCATAAGCACTACCACAAAATAAATGTAGTACCTTTTAGTCCCAAACCTTACCCACCAATGTGACCTTACAGCCCAACCAACAAACAAAGAGTAACAATGTTCAACTTGCGTTAAACAGGACCCTTCACTGGTCAGCCAAGGATGAGGAAGTCATGGTTGGATCAAACATGGCACAGAGCTGCAACTGCTATAAAAGCTACTGAGAAGTGCACGTGTCTATAAAGCTGTCGTGATGGAAATACATTTTGCAGGAAACATCCAACTAACTGCATGTTGCCAGGATGGCAGCTGCATGCACCTCACTGAAATGTAACGTATTTCTTCTTAATTTCTTTCAGATCTGAAGAACTAGTATGTCCTCAACGACTATGAGAAAAGCAAAAAACAATTTTGGACAAATATCCTAAATCTAAGATGTGGAGAAAATTACTTGTTGCCATTCTTATTTAAAATGAACCATTTTAGGTTCGTGTATCTTTTTTAAGACTTTAAGACATCGGTATCTTGCAAACCTTTATGCATTATTTTTTAGATTCTTTTTAATATTTCCAACTGAAGCAACAGATAATCGGAAAGTTTTCCTGTCAGCTTCACTCACTCTGCCATTCCAAAAAAAGGAGAGTTACCAATATAATTTTCATTAGATTAGTAAGAAAATGCAAATAATAATAACAAAAAAAACCCAAACACACACCCCCTCCCCCAAAAGCAAAAGAGTTTGGGTACCAATTAAATTGCCGTGAAGAAAAGGCAAGGCAAAGTAAGCCTCCATTTCTACCTTGTAAAACTCCAGCAACAATTATTTGCATATGTTAAGAAATATGTGACCGGTTTTTGCATATGTTAAGGAATATGTGACCGGTATTAAAAAAGTCAAAAACAAAATAAAAAGCCCATTAAATTCAGGATTATTTTGCCCTAAACCACTAGCATATGACGCATATGATCATAAATACCGAGGATGTAAACACTGAGCCTACGTCGTGCTCTTGCCACTGTCTGGTAACAAACACCACAGGTGTTACATTTTCTCCAGCTAATCTGAACACTCTCTGGTACAGAAAGCAAAATCTATAGAGTAAAACATATGTTATTAATTCTTGTATCCCAACAAAAACATTGACAAGCAATTACAGGACTTCAGCACACAAACACTTGTTGGTGTTACAAAAGGTAACACATCATTAAGAGAATACTCAAGAAAACATAGAATAGAAAGGCTTGAAAAACTTGCATCAAACACCCCAACTAATAAGCTCATATTTATCAAAAACATCAAAAGTGAGTTTTAATTTTTTCAAAATGGAATTATTTAAGAACATGGTAATTTGTCAAGGCACATAGTGTAATTAAGTGTGTAAACAAGCAGTAATTTCCTTGTTTACTGATGTTATTACAAATGTTTATAAAATAGATTCAAACTTTCAAAGGATTAATGGAAAACAAAAATAATGTCTAAAGGCAATTCTGCATCTTAGAAAAAGGTGCCCAAGTCAGCTAAACTACTTTAGAGATTAAGAACATACAAAAATTCAAAAAGCAAGTCCTGTGTAGAAATCAATTAAGGAGCAGCACTGGAGAGAAATGCTGACCAACAGACTTTTTTCTCCCCTTGGATGTAGACGGCATCAGCATAATTTGTTTCCAAGTGAGAACTCATACTGACAAATTTGCAGAATTAACCTCTAACTAAGGATCTAATAAAGTGAAGACTACCACAACTGCCTTAGATTTGAATATTAAATGCTTAAGACAAATGTCTAAAATGTCTCAATGCTTTTTACTAATAAAGACAACTGCTAGAGGACAAGGAATCATGCTTCAGAAATCATAAGCACCAAGCTGGGATAAAGTCCTCTCAAGATCTACTCTGCAATTCATCCTCTTGCAATTTGTATTGGGCTTAAGCTGTTATTTTAAAACAAACAAACAAAAAAATAAGTTCTCTATAAACTATTCAGGCTTTAGTCCAGACAGCAGTCTCCATTATTTCAAGATAACTTCCACTCCTTTATTTGCCATATTACTAGAAGTGGTTAAATTATAAGGCAAAATATGCTTGACCAGATCATATTTACTGTAAGTTCAACTCAAATAATTAATAATTAATCCAAAGGCAACAAGAGCCACCACAAATTTCACAGTTTCAGGAGAACCTCAACACATCCCAGTGCAGTGACATGTAACATTTAGATTCCTGTGTCGCAGACAATTGTTCAACAGGACATATGTTCATAAGAAAAATGCATTTCAAATCCTCAAATAGTAGGCTTCACACAAAACCAACTCTGTTTTACGCTAGATCCACACACTTTTTTAAACCTCAACTACAACCCCAGCTTCCTGGAGCACAAGACACTGGGGCGTGCCAATGAAGATACCGACTGCAGTGCCTGTGCGCCCACATCAGCCTCACATGTGTATTAGGAGAGAACTGCTGCCAGGGAATTCCCTGGAGCGCTTCCCTCCTCTGGTGTCGAAAAGCCTGGCCCACTTGCCTTAGGGATCACACTTACTAACGCTGTAAAATTTAATAAGGAACACAGTTCTTGTAAGCGTGCCAGGATCTAGCATTTACGTACCGGGTAACTGAACACATTCTGCTGCATTATTTCCCAACTGTTCCTCCAGCCATTTATAATTACAGAATGACTTCTCACCAGCAATGTTAAGTTTGCAAAATAACCTCCACACCATGCACTTTTACCACACCTGAAAGTCACAGCCTTCACAGTGTCATGCCTTTCTTTTTACATAGGATATTCTTGTTCTACAGCTCTGAGTTTTGCCCTGTTTGAGGCAGGGGGTCCTCATCAGTGCATGGGAGGGAACGAAGAGGGAGCCAGACTCATCTCAGCTGCGCCTACTGACAGGGCAAGAGGTAACGGGAACAAATTGAAACACATGAAATTTCATCTGAACACAAGAAAAAAAAATCAAAACCTTGGGGTGTTTTTTGGTTTGGTTTGGTGGTTTTTTTTTTACTGTGAGGGGGATCAAACACTGGAACTGGTTGCCCAGGGAGGTTGTGGAGTCTCCATCTGTGGAGATACTCAAAACCCAACTGGGTATCGTCCTGGGCAACTGGCTCTGGGTGACCCTGCTTAAGCCAGGGGTTGGACTGGATGGTCTCCCTTCCAACCTCGGCTATTCTGTCATTCTATAAAGAGCAAGTCAGGAGGAAACTAGCAGAAAACTAAACCCATCAGCAGGATTACCTCCCACATCCAGGAACAGCTCGGGATCAGCGCTCAGCTCAAATGACTGAGGTTCATAATGCTCATAAAGCGATTGAGAGGCTGGGATAGGTATAATGTACATCTCATTAAAACAAAACATACCCATACTCTCCCTCTAGACATCATATATTATTTTGTAAGGCTTTTCCTGCATTTAACACACACAAACTCCTGAAACATATGACTAGCTGTAAAATTTGCAACATCCACACATTTCACAGTTCACTCTGGCAGGATAGCCTGGGTAGCCAGATGCCAAAGCGAAACGGATGAGACAGAAATGCCAGGCTTTACTCCAACACCTTCAACTTTTCACTAGGACAATTAACTTCTCTGTCCCCATCTGTGAACAGAAGATATGCTCTTTGTAGGTACATCTCAAAAAAACCAAAACACAAAAAACACCACCACCACAAAAAAAACATAAAAAAACTCCATCCCTAATGAGTGGCAGTTTTGAATATCTGAAGACATATTTGCAATATCAGTAAAACCATGCTAGCTTCAGTTTTCCCTAAAGCACATCAATTAAGTACACATATGCATGACTTCAAGGCTTTTTAGGTATAGTAAGAAGGGAAGGTTATGTGGTAATTTAAAGAACTTCAGAATTTGCTGAAAGAAGTTGGATTATTATAAATACTGTACTTTAACTTGTGAGCTACAGACACTCTTTCTAAAAAGACTGTCTGTCCCTTATTTTCTAAGCTCTCAGGCAGTAAGTCACTTTTTTCTACAGCTCTTCATACATTTGCGTGCAGTTTCTGTACTGCTCACATAGCCGGATGCAACCTGCCTACACTGCAGAAACGCAGCTGCCTCTTACGGCAAATTATTTGTCCTATAACTGATATCAAATATATTTTCAATGGAAAGTCTCTCCCAATTAAATCTGTTTATACATAATTTGAGCTGATACTCTTTGGTACATTCAGACAAAAAGCTCCCTGACAACTGTCAATGATTTTTCTCAATTTCACCTTCTTTCCCCATCAAGTACATTTTGTGCTTTGTTCAAGACAAGGCACTTTCTTTGCCAAGCCAAAAGCTGTACTAAGACATAAAAAATGCTTTAAAGCCACTGATGGATAGATAACCAGTGTGGCAGCTCCATACTTGTTCCCCAGCACATGCAAAAAACCCTCTGACAGGTAAAAAAAAAAAGCTTTGTTACTTTCTGATTTAACAAAGACACTGCTTATTCAACAATTATACCAGGTCCAGAAGATCATATTACGGTATAACTAAAATTTACAGACCTCTGTATTAGAGTGGATTCAAACACATGAACAGTGTTAGCGTCCAGTCCTCACTCACTAAAGCTGGACGACCAGCACTCCTGCAGTGTAGCTCAGGCAAGGAGTGGAGTCCCAGGGGCCACTAGGCAGGAGGCCAGGGCCACCCGAGGCTGGTCAGTGCCATTAAGGTCTATTAATGCACTTAGGACCCTGACATATATCCATCACACCAGCTTATCTTGCACCACTAAAGAAAGATATTGCTCACTTCTTTTTACTCAGGTTTTTAACCCAACAACTGCGCTCTGGCAGTTGATGAACCTTTCATGGCTCAAAGATTTATAAATAGTTACTGCTTTGGTACTTCAGTCCAGACTAGCTACATCATGAATGAAAATATTATTCTCCACCGTTATACTGTGACCTAGACAAAAGGAATGTAATTGCAACTACCTTTCTACAATTCACATTGCTGAAGACTATGAATTTAAAAAACCATGGCAGTAAAAGGTAACTAAGCCATCAGGGTCAAGGAAAGAGAATAACGGGGGGTTCTGCAGAAGTTTTCATCTCTGTTGCCCACTTAGCCTTCAGAATTACTGATATGGCAACCTTTCAGGCACATTACAAATGAAACTCCATGGAAAATAAACCCAACAGCAGCCATCTATAAAAGATGATCAAAAGACTGATGCAGACTGACTTGAAACAAGAAGCAACCAAATATAGAGGAAAGATGGTATACACTGCACTAGGTATTGACAACTTGACGACAAGAAAGGATTCTGGAAATAAAAGAAAACCTTGAATAGTTTCCCACCAGATGTAGTTTCCATTCTGCTTTCTTACCTGATCTGCTGCAATGAAATAGGTGCTTTAATTTGCTGATAATAATCAGGATACTTTTTCTTGGAGGGCAAGTGGAAAAAGGGTTCAGATATGAGCTGGCCCTGATTATTTCGGCAACTTCTAACTGTGTCATAAAGCTGATAAAGAGGATTAGAAGTGTCCATGAAGGAAGTAATGCTCTCTGCTTCGGATTCTCCTTCTTCATAACGAGCAGCAGCTGCACAGAGAGAAAGGAAAAATGGGAAACTCAGCAGGACAACTCAGAGCGGGTTTTTTGGTTGACTTTTCAAATGGATAAGGATCTAAACCAGAAAAAAAGGCAGTCCCTCAATCGAGGGTGTTCAGCCACGCTCTGGCAGTCAGATTCATACCTCAGGAAAGGACATCACAAATATATCTTATGAGCCTCAAGCTGACAAAAAAAGGCACTTTATCTAGGTATTGCAATCTCTCTTACCAGATGAGACTTCAGTTCTGTCACTGGTAACACACCCTTGCCACCTACAAGTGCTGAGAATTGTTCATATATGAGACTACGTAACAGGACTATTCAACCACACACTACCTATAAAACAGCTATGTCCTTATTTACCCATCAAACTATTAATACTAGTATTTGTGCCAAATACATTGGTATATTGAACTACTGCTATTCTGCTATCTGACAAGAGCTCGCTACAAGAATACAAATTGACAAACCATGTCCAGAATTTTCAAAGGTGCCTAGCCGTTTAAGCAAATGGCCAAATTAAAAATGAATTTTTGCATATATATCAAAAAGGTGACTTCAAAACTTCTATAATCCTTCAGACCATATTAATCACAGCTCAATTCAAAAATTGTGAAGTTTAGCAGAAAAAAATGACACTACGGCCTGAAGGTGCACCTCTAATATATGCAGCAAATTAAAGAAATAAGTATTTTAGAATTATTATATAATTAGCATAAACATTTCATAATAAAGTATTTACAAATTTTATAGCAAACTTTTCTAGTTATCTATATGAAGCATATATTATGCTTCACGATTAGGATGAATGAAAGAAATGCTCTGAAGAACTAACATTTACTGCAGATAAAATTAGGAGAAATATTACATGAGCAACAGAAACACAAAAGGAATGAAAAAACACTGGTAGTGGAAATATAGGATGGGAAGCAATGAATGGCCAACCCTTCCACGTTTCCCAGTAACACAAATTGTGTAATTTGTACCTTGCAGACAGGCATAACATGAAATATATGTGGTTTTGCACATACTAGAGTTAAATTATTCACCCTTTTTCCCCCTTTTATGAGTTACAGTTTGAAGGAAAGCTTGGCAGATGACACACTGGGTAATTCAGTTACACAAAAGACAGTTCTCTAACACTCACGCCACATTTCCAGCTGACATTTTCATTATTGCTCAGTGGAGGCTGGCAACGTTTCAAGCTTTCTCTCCAAGTTCAGTAAAGGCATATTGAAATGATGACAAAGCCAGGGGACACACTGACTGCATAACAACATAGTACTATCATTTTTCCTCTGCAGTCTGACATTGCAGATCTGTGAGCGTATGACGTTTGAGAACTACCAGACAAGCTAGATGCAAGCTAAAACACAAGCAGACCTCAGCAGATGTGCAAACACATTATGAAGACGTTCATTACTGGCTCAGGGAAGACACTAAAGATTATCCTAATTACGTATCTGTATGCCAATCAGCATCACTTAATGGCCTAGCATCCACTACACAGTAGCCTTCAAAGTAGGTGCTGGACAGAATAACTCAGGTAGAAACAAAAGACTGGAGGTAGCACTATGTTTTCCTGTACCAACATATCAACCTGAACATGGAGATAAATGCTAACAGCTAAGAGAATGCTATCAGGTAAATTAAGTCTCCAAAATAGATTATGCAGCAAAATACTGTCTTTGGTTTTGTTTACTCAAACAGTTCCATTCAGTTTGTTTACTGAAACAGTTCAGTTCTGAGTGCTCCATCAAAAAGTAAGAAACAGAATAGAAAAAGCAGAAGAACTTGTTTTTATGAAAGAGGAAAAAATAAGAAACTAGTCAAGTATATTACTGTTCTCTGACATGTGGCAGCCAGCAACAAAGCAGTTCAATACCCTAAATAAGAAATGTACTTCCTTTGTATTAAAAGTAGAACACAAGGCATTCCCTAAAATAATAATCTAAGTAAATTAAACAGGCACTAAAAGGAAAGTGTTTACATAATATGGTAATACAGCTATAAACATTTTCATTATGATGTGTATGGTCTTTAAAAGCGAGGTGTCAAACATTATATATTCTTACATATTCAGAAAATGATAGTGTTCTCCTAATATGAAACCTGTTATCTTGAGAACTGAAGAAGAATGTATTATTCAGATCAGAAGACAGAAAAATCTGTATTTTGCTATGGAACAGTCTAATGCAAGATTGTAGATTCTTTAACATGCAGTAGCACCAGGTCCCATATCCCCACCAAGCACACGCTGGCAGTGGAGAGTAACAGTCAGTTATTCCCCTTTCACGCAGCTGTTACCACAACTACAGTTAGCAGATACAGGGGGCGGGGGGGGGAGCACCAAACGCAGTAAACCGTAACCACAAAATATACGCCACTCAACAGTCCCAAACAAAATGTATTTCCTGCTGTTCATTCCATACCACAGTGACTGTTTCCTAATGAAGGGACAGCTGCATAATGGAGTAATGTTAAATTGACTTCACTGCAAAAGGAAGAAGCCATCTAATTTACAACTGGAACTGGGCTTTATTATCAGATATAAATGCATATATCATATACATGTACTCTTACTCAATGATGAGGCAGAAAAAGAGCAGAGAAAGAGGAGAGTATTTGAATGTATATGAAAGAAAATTAGTCTTTACTCATTAAGTGATTTGCTTTAAACACTGTCTCCTTTGTGGTCCCAAAGCACCTAGACAACAATGAATGCTCAAAGCCTAATTGAAGACAGATGCTAGTAAAACCAAAAGCACCATCCAGTCTTAAAACATTTATAAACAAAATAATAGTAAATAAAATAGCTTTGTTTACAAAATGAAATACTTACTTATAAGTAATACATAATGATCATCTATGCCTGCCTTTACAGATTTATAGTCAGGAGCAAGGGAGCTACAGAAGCTGCTCATGTCCTAGTACATTTGAGCTGGAAATCTACAAGCTCCATCATACCACGACACCCTCTGAAACTGTGAGGATAAACTCCAAGCTGGAAACAGATATTGTTCATTGCTTAGGCAACTGCTACAATCAAAGAAACTCACAAAGATTTAGTTCTCCGTATCGAGAAGGAGAAAGTTCTCTTGATGTTCAGTCATGCAGCCTAGTTCTCATTTATTTCAACGAGTGTTAGAGGAAGGAAAAAAGATGAGATACCAGAGCAACTAATAAAAATACCACTTGATTTAAATGAAAATCCTTTTCATCCGCAGACTGAAAGCATAGGGATGTCCAAGTAGTACGTTGGAGGGACAGAAGATCTTAAGGGTAGCAGAGGTCTGCCAAAAAAATTGACATTGCCTCTTAGGTGAATGCAATAAACATAGGAGAGCTGCAAGAGCAGCAAGGCAAAAGTCTCAGAGGCATACAAAAGGCCCCATGAAAACAACAATAACGTCCATGGTAAAGGTGGCACCTGAAAGTGGTTAAATCACTTCAAGAATTTAAATCACATAAAGACGTAAAAAGCTATGCGTTTTTACAGAATTACAATTTGCAAAAATAGCAGCTAACAATCATGCTGAACCAAGCTAATAAATACTCCTCACACCTCCCAGAAAGCAGTTGCTCTGAAGCAATAACTGAACTCTGGGCTAACCAGGAATACAAATGCTTTTGCTTGCAGCAAGATCTAAAATGATCCAAAAAATTCTACAGCATATCTATCCACTGGAAAACAGTGGTGAGTACAATTCAATTACCAGGTGTGAAATAAATGCCCAAAAAATATATATAGAAAAGATGCATCATTTCACATCAATACAGAAATAATGTAAACAAAAAATAAAACAACGGCGTATATACAAAAAATTTTCGGAAACCTGCTCTGAGATGAATGCAAGGAAGTTACTGAGAATGTAACTATCAAGACAGGCTAACTTCATAGAATCATAGAATAGTTTGGGTTGGAAGGGACCTCTAAAGGTCATCTAGTCCAACCCCCCTGCTGTGGGCAGGGACATCTTCGACTAGGTCAGGTTGCTCAGAGCCCCGTCCAACCTGACCTGGAATGTTTCCAGGGATGGGGCATCCACCACCTCTCT